CCCCCAAAAAAGAAAAAAAAAACTGCAGGACAAAAAGAGAAAGCGAAAGAGAGAAAGGAGCGCTCACCATGGTGTGGAGAATAGCAGCGACTCATGCCCTCGTCACCTTCTGGTTTGGGGGTCTTGTCTTCACACCTCTAGTTCCATCTCACATGGTGACAGTTCACATGAAATGTGGCCTTTCCCTAATCCCCACAACCCCATTGCACATAGCCACACAAGGTAAAATAAATAGGCTTTAATGGTGTAATAAATAGGCTTTAGTGATATAATAAATAGGCTGGGGCACGAGACAGACAACAGGTTTATGTTCAGCAAAGCAAACAATCTCTCTTTGCCCCCACCAACTCTATGGGGCCTCTCTGGTCTCATCAGCCCTTAAGTCACCCATGCCTGCCACCCTGCTGGTGCTTATCTCTTTCCCATTTGTCTCTGTTCCCTATTCTTCCGTCTCTGTCCAGAGCAAGTCGTCTTCTCTGCCATCTTCTGTCACAGAGCAGCGCAAACCTAACTCCAGTTTAGCCTCCTGGCTCAAGGTCATATCTCCCGAAAGATATTTTCCCAAACAGAGAATTTTCTCTGCCTACCCCTGAGGGGTTAGACTTTTACAGTTTTTTTTTTTGGCTGGGGCTGTGTTTGAACTTGCTACCTCCGGCATATGGGGGCCAGCGCCCTACTCCTTTGAGCCACAGGCGCCGCCCGAGCTTAGACTTTTAAAAAGTAAACTGGCCAGTTGCACAAGAGCAGTTCTGCCTCCTGGGCCTTGGGGTCTTTGTCCCAGGGGAGCTGTAGTGATGGCTGCCCCACCTTCTCTTCCCTTTGCTTTGGAAACAGCATCTTGCCTGCCTTTGTGGGTTGCTTCCTGTCAACCCCAGCTTGTCTGTTGCTGATATCGGTGGCACAGGGTGGCTGGAGCTGATAACCTCCTCCAAAGTTCACATCCACCAGTTCTTCCTGTCCTTTGGACCGCCCCATGCAGCTGCTTGGGGCCTGAGTTCCAGCCTCTGGTTCTCTTCTGGTGACCAGGGTCAGTGGCTGCACAGTGATCTGACTATTACAGAGATTTGGAAGCTCAAGGCCACGGGCCAAATTCTTACCAAAAATTTTCCGGCACCCACACCATTCTGTGTGACCCACTATTGCAGTAAGGCTTAACCTTGTCCGAAGACAGATATGGCCCTTTGCTCTCAGCTCCTAGGAGGTCATCTCAAATCCTTTAGCACATCCTGTCTGTTAGTTTACCTGGGGGATTTGGGCCACTCTGGGTGGTCTATGCTAATGATATAATTTTTGGTGGGGACCTTGGGCCACATGGTGTATCAGCTGTGTGGAAGGTCAGTCATGTAGCAGATGCCCAATAAAAACTTTGGACACTAAGCTCTTGGGTGAGAGGTTCTGACTGGGAACACTTCTTGCGTGTTGTTATACATCATTGCTGGATGAATTAAGTCACAATTTCCATGTGACTCCACTGGGAAGGGACAACTGGAAGCTGGTGCCTGGTCTCTCTTGGGCCTTGGCCTATGTGTCTTGTCTCTTTGCTGATCTTAATCTCTATTCCTTCATTGTAATAAACCGAGTTCTAGGAATCCTTCTTGTGAATGATGGAAGCTGAGGGTGGCCTTGGAGACCCCTCAGCTTGCACCTGCCCACCTTGTTGTGATGCCTGGCATGGTGGAGGGTGGCCAGTCTCTTTGGTGGGGGGATGTTCATCCATTGGGTTGGGATCCAGCCAGGGAGACAGGTGTCTTTGTCAGCTGGAGCCTTTATCTGCCTTTGGTTCTGATGTTGTCATCGTGTACTCTCTCTGTGTATCCTGGGGAAAGCCGGCTTCAGTGTTCACAGCTGAGTAGGAGGCAGTCTACAGAGGGTATTCACATGTTAGTCTTGGGGTCCTTTTCAACAAAATCAGCCAAAACTTTCCCACTGAAGCCCAACATGCAGAGTGCTGCAGCCCAGTCTGCCCCTCCCTGGAAACCAGGGCAGGGCTTCTCAAGGTGTGGCCAAGGGCATCAGGGAGTGGGATTTGCAGGGAGACACACTAATATGCACACCCCCAGCCCCCAGCACAAGCCCACCAGCCCAGGCTCTCAGCAGGCCGTGTTTGCAAGCTCCCCAGGGGATGCTGCCCAGCCGGAGGGGTTGGGAAATGGAAGACAAGACCCCAGCTCCTGATGCCAGGACGGTCTGTGGCGTGTGCACACCCCACATCCTCCTCAGCACCACTTACCCCGTTAGCCGAGGGGCTGCCACGCTTCCAACCTGGGGAAACAGGAAGAGAATTTGTCAGGTAGGAATGGCAATGCTGGGAAGCTTGGGAAGAGGACATGTGTGGGTGTTAGGACCCCTAAAATTCTAAGTCCTGCCTCTGCTATTACATGGGGGCACCGCTTCCCTCGGTGGTTTGTACATTTGTCAGACAGGGGTTGTGTGCATGCTCTTTAAGGATCCGGTCATCCAGTTATTCATCTGGATGAATTAAATCCAAGTAAGTATTTATTGAGCATGGGCTCTGGGTGGGTTCAAATCTCATCTCTGTCCTTGAAGAGCTGTGTGACCAAGTGACTTAACCAGCGCCTCAGTTTCCACAACTATTGAAGAGGGGTCTATTCAGCAAATCGAAGGTGTGTTCGGCAAGTGGTAAATGTCTACTTTTGTGAACAAAACAGACAAAAATCCCTGTTCTCAAGGAGCTCATGCTCATAATAATGATCATGGTCCTGACAGCAATGACAGTAGCTGGTATATACCCAGCACGTGGCTTACAAGGCGACAAATGCTGCACTAAGTGCTTTACTCATATTATCAGGTACAGTCACCCCCCATACAGATGAGGAAACTGAGTCACAGAGATTAAGCCATTTGCCCAAGATGACCTAATTAATGGGGCGGTAGAGTGAGGGCTCAGAACATCTCATTCTCCCTGGCTGCTGTAATTGGTTCATAGGTGGCCTATGCTGGGCAACGACAGCCAGCCTGGGGGGTTGGGTACAGCTATTGAAAGTGGGGTGTTCTTTGCGTTGGGATTGCTAAAATGGTAGGATGTGAGTCTGTAGCTTCTGAGGGCCATCTTGCTTCTCCAAGGACAGAGCCTGCCTGAGAATAAAGCTAGAATAAAGAAAAGCAGAGACAAGAGTCTTGCTTTGGAGTTGACACATTGACTCAGCAAACAATTTCCTCGAGTGCCTTCTTTGTGCCTGACCTGTTGCTAGGTGGTGCTGGGGACACAGCTGTGACCATGACAGCTCTAGCCCCAGTACACTGGGGGAGACAGATAAGACCCCAGAGTGGGCAAGGCTGGGATGAGAGAGCCCAGAGTGGGTGTTTGGCCCATTTTCGGAGGTCAGGGAGGGCTTCCTGGAGGAGGAGGCATCCAGCTGGGATGTGAGGGGGCAGTTTTCTTTAGTGGTTCAGAAAAAAACTTTGTAGCCAAATACCTGCCTTCTACTCCCCATCAACCACTTTCTAGTTGTGTGACAGGCAGATAACCCCATTGCTCAGAGCAGACACTTCCTCATCTGCAAAACGTGGCTCACAAAAGGACATTTCTTGGGGGCTTGTTAGCATTGAGGGAGGCTGTGCACAGAAAGTGCCTGGCAGGTAGAAAGTGCTCAGCAAAAGGCAGCTCTGCTGATTACAGAGTTTGCTGAATCACTTTGCCAGAAGAACCATGGGAGGCTGCTCCAGGCAGGGAATGGTCTGAGCAAAAATCTGGGGTGTGAAAGCATCGGGCCCTTATTAGAGCAGAAGGGGATCAGGAGCCAGTTCCTGTCACACACCCCTGCCTCCAGGAGTCACTCCTGAGCAAGGAGGTGGGGTTAAGTACTATTCCTCCCGGTCCATGTGGTAGGGGCTCCCATGTCACCCAATTAAAAGCCCAAGTCCATAGGGCTCTTGAGGCCCAATGTGCTCTTCTCCCAACTTCCTAAATATTTGTGAAATGAATCAAAATGAACAAGACTCCCTGGTTTTGTGTCTTCATCTGTTAAATAGGGGAAGCCTCAATGAGGCGTCGGGGTGAGGATTCACTGAGAGGCTTAGCCGAAGGGTTGGCTCAATTAAGGGACCTCTGGTGAGGCTCACTCCTGGCAGATAGGTAGGGGTTTCAAAGAGGAAGGAACTCACAGGTAGATTTGGAGCGACTGAAATAAATAATCGCGCACGGTATGGCCAGTAACGCCATAAATACCACAGTCACGATGAGGATCACATGTAAGTTGCCTGAGTCTGACTGGTCTGGAAGAGAAGATGGAAACAGGTATCTAGGTAAGGAAACTTCTAGAATTTTCATTTCCTGGCAAACATTACCCTTCACTCTTGGAACAGCACCTTGAATTTCCTTTAGGTAGCTACCACTCCACCACGAACCTCTATATTATTCAGGTGGACTCGACCCTGCTCTCTAGTTCCTAGGATAAAACTTTGACTCAGAACAATCAGAACATTTCATTATCCTTGGCTGCTGTGATTGGTTCATAATTGGGCTGTGGCCCAAGTTGGGCCAATGACAGCCAGTTCTGGGACTTTGGCTATAGCTATTGAGAGTGGTGTGTTCTAGCCAGGCATTGTGGTGGGAGCTTGTAGTCCCAGCTACTTGGGAGGCTGAGGCAAGAGAATCACTTAAGCCCAAGAGTTTGTGGTTGCTGTGAGCTGTGATGCTACGGCACTCTACCAAGGGTGACATAGATTCTGTCTCAAAAAAAAAAAGTGATGCATTCTTTCACTTGGGATTTCTAAAGTGGTAGGATGTGACTTTGTAGCTTCTGAGGGCCATCTTGCTTCTCCAAAGACAGAGCCTGCTTGGGAATAAAGCTAGAATAAAGAAAAGCAGAGACGAGATGTTAAAAGAAAAAGTCCCTGGGTTATGTACTGTGTTTCCCCGAAAATAAGGCACTGTCTTATATTTATTTTTTCTCAAGAAGACACACTAGGGCTTATTTTCAGGGGATGTCTTACTCACCGTATGGAAATGCAGGGTGTGGCTATGCAGATATGCTGCACAGCCATGCCCATCACTAGGTCTTATCGGGGTAGGGCTTATATTTAACAAATGCATAGAAATCCTGCTAGGGCTTATTTTTTGGGTAGGTCTTATTTTGGGGGAAACACAGTAGTTGGAGCACCTATATTTTTCACTAGTTTTCTTTTCCTTTTGGCTTAGACTACTTTGCATAGGGCAGCGCCTGTGGCTCAAAGGAGTAGGGCGCCAGCCCCATACACCAGAGGTGGTGGGTTCAAACCCAGCCCTGGTCAAAAGCTGCCAAAAAAAAAAAAAGACTACTTTGCATAATGCTTCTGTAAATTTCAGTTGATAGAATTTGGCCTAATACACTTAGAAAGACTTTTCTGTGCTCCTGGGAAAGAGGTGTCCCATAATTACCCCTGCCTGGGTTTTTCTTTTTTGAGACAAAGTCTCAAAGCTGTCAACCTGGGTAGAGTGCTGTGGCATCACAGCTCACAGCAACCTCCAACTCACAGGCGCCCTAGCCCCTGAACTATAGGTACTGAGCCCCTGCTTGGTTTT